ATCTGAACCTTTTTTGTATAAATATGGTTGTACATGAATGTCGAGCATTTTCTGGTCAAACCGGAGTCGTCTCCGAAAAATTTACCCTCGCTGCGGATGAGTAGTTTTGAAATGAAACCACGTGCAATGTGTTGTACGTGGAGAGACACTTACATGCGTTAAGCCCTTGCCAGCGCGCTGCTTATCTTCTGGTTCATGAGCGGGAGTTTGTATGCTATGCAGTGCGAATGAGCCACGTGACTCCACGTTCCTCTTCGTCGATGGCACTGGATCCACCGCCCACCCCTGTATGGGCATGAGCTTTTCCACGACGAAGCAGGATACTGCAGGAACAAACGATGTCGATTTACACCGGAAGAGAAGGTGGCTGATTGTGGGTCCAGCAGGATTTCGGAAGCAGCTGACGAGCTTGAAGAGTTGTTTGGGTTTGTAGATGGGGTGGGTGGCACACACTGGCATTCGACGAGGGGCAACCTCGGTAAGCTCTTGCGAGTCCGTACAGTATTTTACAACAGGGTTGTGTTATCCTATTAGTGTAATACTTACGTTTGTTTCCCTCGTAAGCTTGCAAAGTTGTCCACACGGCGAAGGATGGCGTCATATTACTTGCGTCGGTATCATGGGCTCCCACGCCACCATGATTAGGTCCCGCAGCAGTCGACACAAGCAAGCCTGCTTGTGTCCGGGAATGCTCTTCCTAAATTGTTTGTAGCTTAAGGGAAGAACACCTCCGAAACTTTGTATATTCACAAATATTCCTTCTTGTCTCATGACGCCGCGTGGCACACCCGCACGTTTGTCTCACGGTCTTCCGATGTTTGGTGTGTGTGCTCTTGTTATTGAAATAGCTGCGGGCTCTAAACCTGCATGCAGCCTCGACTGTAAAGTATCCCTCTTTGCCAGAGAAACGGGCCCCGAGCTTCCGCGTCCTTGCCCGTACAACCTGTCACTGGTGACGAAGAGCAAAAGAAAGGTTGGTTCGTCAAAATTTCAAGCCGAAGCCGTGAGGAAGGAAGGCCCGATTACCACGCCTTTCGTGCATCATAAAAATCCGTTATGTGAAGAAACACCCAAAAATCGTACCCACAGGAAAATCGTATACTCTCAGATCCTGTTGTTTGTTGTGTGTTTTCGGAGGCTGTCGAACTTCAGCGTAAATCATTGATTATTTGGAAACACGAATACAGACTCATTCTTAATATTATTAGTTGTAGATATGCAGCAGCATTACGTAAGTTTGCGTACCATCGCCCGCGGTCGCACTGGAGAAAACACACTGATAATGAATAATACGTTTCAACTCAGAAATAAATTGTAGGGGCTCCAATGCCGTGCTTTTGCGCCGCGTCAAGCGAAAGTATGGATCACTTCCTTCCCTCTTACCAACGACAATATTATGCATACGAACACACAAACACCCGTCTTTCATCCTTCTTGTGGCACGTTGACACCTACTAGCTGCTGCTGCCGCAGATCGGACGGATTCCGAACCCGCCCACAACCGTCTTCAGAGTCAGGAGGTCGCCGTGAACGTGCAAATAGTAAATAAACGGTCACCAGGGCGACCACAGCTGATCGTCGTCTTCGTATCCACCTACCCACAAAAAAATCCACGTACGCATTATTTACAGTGGGGGCCCCGGTTTAGCGACCCCTAATGTCACGACGAAATATGGTCGCTATTCAGGGTATGTCGCTAAATGAACCCGGTTAACGACCAGTGGTTGCTAAACCGGGAGCCTCAATAGCGACTATTAGCGGTCGCTAAATTGGGAAAAAGCGACAATTCGTTGGACTAAAGGCCGTATTTTGTAGAAACCTTCTTGACCGGGTCATGCGTGCGTCGTATTGCAGCAGTCACATGAAGGTAGAGGAAAGAAGAAGCACCTTAGGGTGGACAACCGGGGAGTAGTTCCTATCTATATGGAATGCATTCCAATTAACCAGCAAGCGTGTTGTACCATCCGAAGTTTGTAGGAAAAGTCTCAACAACAAATAAATGTACAGAGGGTGCTTGTGTCTTTCCCGGATGCTGAACAATCTGTCTCTACATTTGTTGTTGTTGTTTCTCACATTAGCTCTTAGTCTAGTCCACAAAAAATGGGGAGTACGCTGCCTCGCTTAACCCACACGACTCCGCGCACTCTTCTGGCGATCCAAAATGCGACGAAAGCTCCGAGTAGGGCGGCGGTGCCATCACTTCCCAACCCCCACACCGCCATCCCTCCATCTACCATACGCGTTTCCTTTTTCTGTCGCTATTTCTTGCTATTTTGGGCCGGTCCCTTTGTTGTCCTCGCTCTTTTTCGTTTCTCCTCTCACTCCTCTTCCTGTTTCCTTTTATAGTTGTTTTTCCTCTTGTTTTTCGTCATTGGTCTAATATTCTCTTTTTCTCTTTTTTCTCCCTCTTTTCTGCTTCAGATGGCCTTGTTTAAAGGAGGTGAAGCCGTGGGCGGTAGCTTGCTCCTAGATATAGATGAAGGTTCTGTCGTTGACACGCTTGTCCACGACCACATTGAGATGGGAAAGTTGCTTGTCATTGCTGAGAGACGATCAGCAAGGGTCTGAGATGGAGTAGTGATCCAACTTCATCTCAAGGGGTACACAGAGTGAGTAGACAATTCTAAGGGGGTAGGGGTCAGAAGGGTATACTTCCTGACCGACCCGCATCCTATCGACAATAAGATGTACCCTATTCATGCTAGCAGCCACACTCCCCAACACTAGCCCACCCTGAATATCATTAATGCAGATTCTATACTCAAATCAATGCTCAGATCCTAAGCTACAGTAAGACTTAGCTGATGATTCATGATCACGAATCGAAGATATGACTCTTCACAGAACATGCAAAAGGAGGGTGAGTTGTAGAAATATCCCGAATCAACCCCCCACACCATCATTGAGATGAAGACTGCGAACGGTCACGAGACGGAACATCGACATCTCAATGACGACGCTTGAAGGGATAAAGCCACGAAGAATATATAGTCCTCTGCTGCAGAGCACGCTATCATCATCCTGAACGGACGGCAATAGAGGAAACAAAATCAATGCCCAAACGCCACACACCACTATTTTTACTCGCACCCGCGCGTATCACCACTGGAGGAATGAGGGTGACTACCCGAGAGAGTCCAAAATACGGTGACGAAACTCAAAACCCAAACAAATTTCCGGACGAATACGGCCTTTGATACTGGACGCGACGCAAAGGGAAAACTCTACGCAATCTAGCACAACGTCAACGAAGGGCAGGAGAAAAGAACGATAGGCAAAGGCACGGAGAACGATTGCCAGTGTGCCAGGGTACCCAACTCGTATAAGGAGACGGCAAGGGCAAGACCTAATGAGGACCAAGGGTGCAAAGCACAAACGATTCATGCAAAAAAGGGGGTCGACGAACTGCGCCATGGCTCGCTGGCGATACGAATCATACAAAGACATAAAACACAGAAAAGTCGTAGAGATACACACAACAAGACGACCACTCAGGGGCGCGACTGTGATGAAGGCGTGGCCCGAAGGTGGCGATGATGGAGACGAAGAACGAAGTGTGGATGACGACGAAAATTCACGAGAGAAGGCGACGCCACGGGATGAAATCCCGAAGCACCAAGCGTATGCGACACTTCTGCGACCCGATGGAGCTAAAGCAAAAAAAATTAAGACAAACATTAGTTGACACACAGTATAACCAGGAAAACCCGGGAAACTAGGTGTGCAAGTGTCCCGAGGCAAACAACACCGACGAAACTTGGGGTGTACCCATAGTCGTGCATGCCGTAGTCGTTAGACCATTGACCTCGCATCCCTACAAAGCCGGGACGGAGCACGCCGGGTTCTCACCGGACCAGGCACATCACCAAGCGCAAAGCGCCGTGAGATATTTGGCGAGTCGCATGAAGGGTGCGCTGCATCCTGCTAAG